CCACCTCTCAAGTCCTTCCCTACCTAAACAGCTTCCCCTGAGTACTCCCTGGCATCTCCAAGCTCTCTCCTCCTTTGTATCTTAACCTACTGTGTGTCAGGAGTTTTCATTCACTGGTTCATCTTTACACTAATTCTGGTGTTATCATTCTCATTTCAGAGAAGAGGAAGCTGAAGTTTAGTGTGCACTTCTAGGATTTGAACTGAGGGCCATTTTCTTCATTCTTTCCACAAACATTTGTTGAGGGCTTGCTCCATGCCAGGCTCTGGGCCAGGTGTAGGGAATACACATCAGAGGACCTAGAGTCTAGAAAAAGAGAACACTTTACATTGCAAAGAAACATAAGATTATAACTAGGACAAGTGCCATGAAGCTCTGTGGAGCTATTTGGTTGAGGCACAGTCTGGTCTTGAGAGTCAGAAAAGGCTTCCTGCAGGATGTGACATTTGACCTAGCACCAGAAGGTTGGGTAGACATTAACTTGGAGCAGTCAGGGGCCCCAGAGAGAGGGAACAGCTTGTATAAAGGCCCTATGTGGAGAGGAAGGAGAGAAAGGCCATGTGGCCAGAGCATAAGGAGAGGGGATTGGAGATGGGGCTGCATGGGGCCAGGGCAGCAGGTTCCAGGGAACCCCAAAAGGAGTTGAACGTTTAGCCTGGTGGCTCTGGGCTGGCCCTGGAGGTTTGAAGCAGAGGACAATGCCCATTCTTCCTCCAACTGCTCCCCAGTCCACCACTCAGTGCCTTTGCACCCAGGGACCACTTCCACCCCTTTCTTCTGATGTCCCAGCCCTAGCACAACGTGGGACATACTGAGGGCTCAGACTTGCAGCTGAACTGACAACTTGGTGGGCCGGGCCAGGGAGAGACAGAAGACCTCAGCTCAGCCTTCACCCAGCCTCCAGCTAAATGACTTTGGTCAGCTCCTACCTCTCTCTGTCCCTCATAACTGTAAGACAAAGATTAGACTGATTCCTTTGCCATCTCTGGTTGATCCTGGGGCATAACCTGTAATAAGCGAATGAAAAAGGCTCAACAGTCAAAATGATCCTGCCTGAGCCAGGGGATTCAAGGCTTAGAGCCCTGCAGGGGTATGGAGTAGGGTGCGGCTTGGGGCCTGCTGCTGGCCTAGTGCCATCCCATCTTGCCTCTCCTCCTGAGCTTACCTTCCCAAATGAAGCACTCCAAGGTGTTCCTCCTCCCCTCCACCCCAGCATGGCCCATGCCCTCACCCACTTCTCCCCCATCAGATGTTTGGGAGTCACTGTTGGCCTGTAAAAGCTGAATTGGATTCCTTGGGCATTTGGCTTTCCCATCTGTAAAAGGGTGTCATCCTTTCACCTCCTATCTCCCTGGGAGGAGAGAGGATGAATAAACGGCTTGTTAGTATAACCTCCACCTTCTGTATCAGGGGCACTGCTCCCTTGTCAAGTGTCCTCCCGGGACCTTGATGTCAACAGCACTGGGGGAAACAGACACACCAACTGACTTTGATTTTTTTTTAATATTTGTTTACTTATTTTTGGCTAGATGGGGTCTCAGTTGTGACACACAGGCTTCTCTCCAATTGTGGTGCATGTAGTTCAGTAGTTGTGGGTCTTGGGCTTAGTTGTCCCAAGACATGTGGGATCTTAGTTCCCTGACCAGGTATCAAACCAAGTCCACTGTGTTGAAAGGTAGATTCTTAACTACTGGACCACCAGGGAAGTCTCCCAGCTGACCTTTTAAAACCTCCCCCAGAAGACCATAGCCAGCTGCCCTCCCCAAGGACACCGCATACCTCCCAATAGGAAGTCCAGGGAAGGGTGACTCTCGGCGTGCCCCCTTCCCTCTCCCAGGGCTCCTCTGTGGGTCCAGACAACGGCTGGAGGGGGCCGCTTCAGAACTTGCTCCCTCTCGGGGCAGCCATGCCCTTTGCCCTGTGGGAGGCTCGCTCCTCTGTGTTGTACCTGCTGCTCTGATTGGCCTTATCTTCTTAAGGGTCCATCCTAAGGATGCTGCCCCCAGGTCAGCAGCAGCCCAGGCCAGATCAGTTCATAGTTCTGTTCTATCAGCTTTTTCTACAATAATCACACCTACCTGTAAGTGAGGAAGTGCTTTCCTGTCCACAAGTCTATCCCATGTGCCTTCTCCGCAAAGCCTCACTACAGCCCAGGAAGTAAGAACAAGGATTGGCCTCATTTTACGGATAAAGAGACCAAATCGCAGGGTTATGACCAGTACAGACTTTGGGGACCTGCAGTCCATCACAGTCACATGGGGGAGTGGGGGGGAAGTCAGGAAAGGAGGATGCCAAGGGCAGCAGGAGAGGTGGTTGTTGGAGATCTGAGTGAAGAGTTGACCCTGCCTATTACTGAGAGGTGGGACTGGAATTGCAGTTTGGGAGGCCAGTGAGGCAGGGGGAGTTTAAGGACCTGAGAGTATGCACAGTTCGGGGGACAGACTTACACTTCAGCTCCCACTCACAGAGGATGTGCTCTGTGCCAGGTCCTGAGGGGCCTGGTCCTCGGGGAATTCACAGGCTGTAGGCAGACAGGCACATCCACAGAGGAAGGCCAAGGGTCCGAGTTCTGGAGTGGTAGGTACTGTGTCGAGGTGGCTGGCAGGATCACAGAACCAAGAGTCAGGAGCCCATGTGGCCTGGCCCTGAGCCTCAGAAGAGATGAGGGGGTTTCCCACGCTCACCTGGGCTGGTGTCTGTAGGATCAGGCTCTCCCAGAAAGGCTATGGATTGGCTGCCCTTGAAGGGTGCTTAGGAATTCACTGGGCGGGGGAAGGGGGCCTGAGGAGGCACGAGGGCAAGCAGAGGTCACCTCTGAGTTCTCAGCACCCATCGGCCTGGGCCTGGCTACTGCAGGCATTTAGGGAGCATGTGCTGGCCAGTTGGAGGGTGTTTGAATGAAAGAAGGAAGCCAGGAGGGAGAGTAGGAGGGAGGTAGAAAGGGGGTGAGGAGTGCATGAGAATAGACAGAAAAATAAGAAAGAACCCACACTGTCAAGGAAGCGGCAGGAAAGCAGCTGGGGGACTGGAGGAAGGTGGCAGGGCAGGCTCAGAGCCAGGTCACAAAGGTCCTTGAATGTCATGGGGGGTGATCACTGTACTTTGAAGGATTTTAAGGTGAGGCAGATGATCAGATCTGAATTTGTGGACACTCCTTCCAGCTCCTGGGGAGAAGATAGATGGAGGGGTGAAACTGGAGGTCAGAGCCTGGAGAGGCAGCCACTGGGGTCCTCCAGGTGAGGGGATGGGGTGGAATGGAAGGTAGATACTTAAGAATTCAAGAAGCAGGGCTTGGTGAGTGTGAGTGTGGAGGTGAGGAAAGGAGGGGCCCCCCCATGGCCTTTCCACAGAGCTTCCTGTGAGCTGACCCCTGCGAGGCTTCACGACTTTGTTCCAGGGAACACTCACACCCACCTCCCTGAGGGCCTACACGGTGTAGGGGGCACCACGGTGCAAGGCTTGAACCCCTTTCAGGCTGAAGCACTCCTCCGTGTTGCTAGGAGTGTTGAGGCTGGCTGGCCGGCCACAGATGAGCCCCTGCCCCTCAGCTGAAGAGAGAGGCTCCCTGCCCGGGGCCTTGCCCCTCCAGCGACAGCTGCGTCCAATGAGTGACCAAAAGCTGAAAGTATTAGTCACTCAATTGTGTCTGACTCTTCGCGACACCATGGACTATATAGAGCCCATGGGCTTCTCCAGACAAGAATATTGGAATGGGTTGCGATTTCCTTCTCCAGGGGATCTTCCTGACCCAGGGATCGAACCCAGGTCTCCTGCATTGTAGGCAGATTCCTTACCATCTGAGCCACCAGGGAAGACCAAGCCAGGGGATGAAGGCTCAACCCTCCTGTCCCAACTCAGGACGAGCCCACAAAGAGAGCTCAGGTCCAGACTCCCATTGCTCTGTGCTGTGAATGCATCACAAACCGTCTCCCCACTCTGCCCCATCCTGCTTCCCTCACTCCCTCCCTGCCATGGGTCTCAATCCCAACAAATCTCCTGCATGCTAATCTTCTTCAATGTGCTGGTATTAACATCCACATTTCACCCGTAAGGAAATTTCAGCTCAGAGATGTTAAGTGACTTGCCCATGGTTGCACAGCTGATAAGTGGCAGATCAGGGGCTGGCTAGGGAGGGAAGAGGCCAGGGACCCTGGCTGGCTGAAGCAGAGAGACAGAGGGAGAGTCAGTCCCCAGGGAAGGCTGGTCCAGCCTGTAGACCAGCACTGGAACCAGGAGGGATTTATTCTGTCTGCCTCCCTCTCCCCATTCCACAGATGGGGAAACTGAGGTCAGAGAAGAGATAAGATTGCCCAGGCATATAACGTCAGTTAATGATGGCCCTAGGAGTGTTCCCTAAGGTTCTGCTTCCCAGACCAACACGGGCATTTCCTTTGGTTTATTTATTTATTTATTGCTGGACTGGCTTTTCATTGCTGTGTGCAGGCTTTCTCTAGTTGTGGTCCAAGGCCTTCTCGTTGTGATAGCTACTCTTGTTGCAAAACATCGGCTCTAGGCATGCAGGCTTCAGTAATTGTGGCTTGAGGGCTCTAGAGTGTGGGCTCAGAAGTTGTGGAACCTGGACTTAGTTGCTACGCAGCGTGTGAGATCTTCCCGGAACAGGAATCGAACTGGTGTCCCCTGATTGGTAGGTGGATTCTTAACAACTGGACCACCAGGGAACTCCTGGGCATTTTCTTTGGACCAGACTGCTGTTCTCTTTCCACTGGCCCCTTTTCCAAGCCCAGCAGCGGGTCTCAGGCTCAGAGACCTGTCAGGGTTGACCCTTACTCAATTCCCCCAAGTGGAAAGAGGTGGCTGTGCTTCCCCCAGGCTTGCAGAGACCTTCACAGCAGCCTGAGCTGCCCAGCACTGGCGTGAAGTTGGGATGAACTGGGCTGGGCAAGGCTGGATCTGACTGGCACAGTAGAGCAAACAGATGAAGCAGACGGGAAGGAAATCAATTTGAGTGTTTGATTAATTTTAATTTTTAATTTGCGCAGAGAGTGGCGCTCCCCATTTGGTACCGCATGCTCACTATGAGCTGCTGGCTCTGGCCATGGCTGCCACTGCTGCAGCTCGATGTGCCCGGCGGCTCCCTGCCCTTCCGTCACATGAGCCAGTCTCTCACATGGCGACTGGCTTTCTGCAAAGCAGAGAGGAAGGGGACCTCTGCCCCTTCTGCCCAGGAGAGATGGGTCTGCTAAGTCCCCTCTGTGCCAAGTGGGAGGAGCCAAAGCTATGCTCCCTCCTGGGAGGACACCAGGCAGGCCATGCCTGCACAAAGTCACGGTGGATGAATGAACTCTCCGGCATGGTGACAGACCAGTCTGGGGGGCAAGGGAGATTCTGGGTGCACATCAGTTCACAGGTGCTAAGTAATTGCCCAGGCCACTTACATTTAAGGGCAACTATACCTGGAGTCGGATCTGTCATAAAACTAGGACAATCTCAGCTCTTGTGTTCTGAAACTTCGAGGGTCAAACCTCTGCTCTTTGTTGATTTGGAATTTGACCATATACAGAATGGAGAAAGTTGGTCTGAACTGGAAGAGACTAAATCCATCATACACACCCTCTAGCTCCTGGCCCTTTCTCCCCAACCCCCTCCCCACCAGGCCCTATACTCTGAGAGCATCAGCCAATGGGGTTGAGAACAGAGACCCTGGAAGGAGGCAGACATAGTTGGAATCCTGGCTCTGCCACTTTCTGGCTGTGTGACCTTAGGCAAATCACATAATCTTTCTGAGCATAGCCTTCAAGGACACACCATTCAGTGGCCTCCTCCAGGAAGCCTTCCCTGATTAAAACTTCTGTCCTCACCACAACCATTCCCAAGTGCTGGTCCTGCCCTAAACACAAGCCCTCTCTGACCTTCCCTTGACCCTCAATAACTTGACTGTGTGCACTGCACACATTGCATGGGATGATGTGCTAAAAGAAAGTGACTTTTGGCATAGACATCCCTGCTCCAAATCCAAGCTCACCTCCATGCTGGCTGCTTAGACCCATCTCTTGAGCATCTCAGATTCAGAGGATCCAAACTGAATGCACCAACCCTCCTCATACTCACCTTTGCCTGTTTTTCTTCCCCATCTCATTAAGCAATATCCCAGTCTAGGAGGTAGAACCCTAGGGAACACTCCTAGGGTCATCATTAACTGACGTTATGCGCCTGGACAATCTTATCCCTTCTCTGATCTCAGTTTCCCCATATGCGGAATGGGGAGAGAGAGGCAGATGGAATAAATCCCTCCTGGTTTCAGTGCTGGTCTACAGGGTGGACCAGCCTTCCCTGGGGACTGACTCTCCCTCCATCTCCCTGCTTCAGCCAGCCAGGGTCCCTGGCCTCTTCCCTCCCTAGCCAGCCCCTGATCTGCCACTTATCAGCTGTGCAACCATGGGCAAGTCACTTAACATCTCAAGCCAGTGGGCAAGGATCCACTGAAACTCCTCCATCTGCCTCATTCCCCGCATCCTACCTAACCCAGGCCCTCTGTCCCCACCCTCCACTTCTGCCCTCTGATGGTGCAGGCAGAGGGAGAGGGATTCTCCATTATATTTACTCCACTGCACTGCAGGGCTAGGGGAGCCTTCTGAAAACAGCCAGTGCTCCCCTCCATTCTACAAGATGAGGACCCTGAAACCCATAAAGAGACAAAGACCTGCCCTGGGCCCGACGATCTACTGCCCACAACAGAGCCACGGTGAGAAGTCTGGTGTCCTCTGCAGCAGGGCGTTGCAGGGACGTCATGGTCAGAGCCAAGCCCTGGGACAGTGGTAGGAGGGAACCTAAAGCCCCCCAAGTCCCAGTCTACCTACCCTCAAACCCAAAACCCAGAGAGTCTGCAGAGGAGGGGTGAGGGCTGGGCTGTGTTCAAGTTCCCAGGCAGAATGAGTAACCCACAACTGAGAAGCTCACGAAAGCCACACATCATTCCATGCTGACTCTACAGCCCAGCACCTCGCAGTCCTGCTTGGAAGCGGCCACAGCAGCAAACAGGAAGAAGCCTCAGTTATGATTAGAGCCAGAGGCCATTCTCTGTGTCCCCCTCTCCCTACACCCAATTCTCATACTGCCTGGAATTCTATTAACCTTGCCTGGCTCAAATGCAAATTAATCTATTCTGGCCATTAGAAGAGTTGGTACAAGAATGGGTGAGAGGGTGTAAAGAGTCATCCCGGTTAGAAGTCCCAGAGAGAGGCCCCAGGGTAGACCAGGCTGACCCCTTTTATTGAGCACCTTCTGCATGCTGGGCATTGAGCTAAGGGCTTCACAAGCTTCCTTGCTGCTCCAAGGCCCTCTCCCTGTTACCCAAGCATCATTCAACCCCTCCCAGCCTCAGTTTCCTCTCCTGTAAAATAAAATTAGTGTTAAGAGCTACCTCTAGAGCCTATTGAGTGATTAAATAGGAAAAAGTGTGTAAAGTGCTTCCTACATTGCTGGACACAAAATACATGCTAATTAAGTGCTAATTATAGATGAGATGACTTTTGTGATAAAGCCAAGAACCGATCCAGTTCATGTTCATGATTGTTAAATTTGAGCTGCTGGACTTGCTAAATGGTCCAGTAGTTGAGAATCAGCCTGCCAACACAGGGGCATGGGTTTGATCCCTGGTCCGGGAAGATCCCACATGCCACGGGGCAACTAAGCCCATGCGCCACAATTACTGAGCCCTGCTCTAGAGCCCGGGCCCCACAACAAGAGAAGCCACCACGAGGAGAAACAGGCAGAGAGTAGCCCATGCTCCCCACAACTAAAAGCTCACACGCAGCAACAAAGACCCAAAGCAGCCAAAAATAAATAAATAAGTAATTTTTTTTTAAATCTGAGCTGCTAGTAAGATAAATGTTTCACCACTTGCTGCTGGAATGGGGTAGAGCTGGGGGTGGAGATAGGATTCTGCCCAGGTCTATGCAACAAAGGAGTTGTCTAGAAACCCACAGCATTAATACTAAGACAAAGCATAGAGAAGGGATAAGGTCACAGGAAATGGACCATAGGAAGCCAGAGTCCACTCTTATCTTTTAAAAGCCTCCCTCTCTGAGGTTTGGCCCTAGGTGGGCTGACCCCAAAGGTCCCTGAGTCTTTTGGATTGGACCAAGCCAGGCAGTCAAAGAGAAGGAATGAGAACTTCCTCCAGTGGGAGGGAGAGGGGAGTGGCAGAGACCCCAGTGAGATAGAGATGTTAGGAAGACAGTCATGTGACAGCCACCGATACACAGCCCTTAAAGCACTTGTGTTTGTCCTTTGCCCACATTTTCTCGTTTCATCCTCTGAACAACCATGTCAAGGGTATCATTATGCCCATACACAGAGGGGGCCCCAAGAGGCCAATAATGACTTGCCCTTTGGGCCTTGATCTTTCTGTTTTCTAAAGACCAGGCTCGGAACCATATGAAGAAGGATCAAGGAAGAAGCTAGTGCTGGGTTCCAGCTTCTTCTCTGGGTTCCAAAACCCCTGGTCCAGGGCAGTGGGGCCTTCCAGTTTCCAAACAAAGGCTTCCCCAGATAATCAAAGTTGAGAAGCCCAGAAAATATCTGCCTCTTCCTAGTCTGACTCTGGAAGCAAGATAGAGATTACTATGGGAAGAACCTGGCCATGTACTGGAGGTTCTTGGAGCAGAGCTGGAGCAGAAATGCTTGAGGTTAAAAAATAATAATAACAGTTTACTGCACTGAGTACATACCAAGCACTGCTTTACATGCTTTATGTATTATGTTTCATTCTACAGCACCCTTCGAAAGTGAAAGTGAAAGTGGCTCAGTGGTGTCCGACTTTTTGCTACCCCATGGACAATACAGTCCATGGAATTCTCCAGGCCAGAATACTGGAGTGGGTAGCCGTTCCCTTCTCCAAGCGATCGAACCCAGGTTTCCTGCACTGCAGGCAGATTCTTTACCAGCTGAGCCACCAGGGAAGCCCAAGAATACTGGAGTGGGTAGCCTACTCCTTCTCCAGCAGATCTTCCCAACCCAGGAATCAAACCAGGGTCATCCCTATTTCACAGATGAGGAAACTGAAGCACAGAGACTGTTAGGTAATGCCTCCAAGTTCACACAAGCCAGAAGAGACCAAGCCAAGATTCAGTTTCAGGCAGTGAGGTTGCACAGGCCATGACTCTAACCATCTATCAAGCTGCCTATCTAAACAGCCAAGTACTGCCCCCAAAGCCCAGAGCAACCCAGAATAGTGTTGGGAGTAGGATTCGACTTACAGCACTCCTATTTGCACACGCTTTTTAGAGTGCAGGAAGTGAGGCACCTGTGTCTTTGCAGACTCAGCACAGAGAAGCCAGCTGGGCTGCCCTGTTTTTGCTCTGTTCCAGAAGTCTGTTCCTGACTGCTCTGTTCCACAGGCAGTCAGGTTGCATGGAAACATGAGGCCGCTGAATAACTTGGGCAAGCCCATGTTCCCAGGGCTCCAGGCCCCAGGTCCCATCCATGTGATGATTTCCCAGGATGAGCCACTTCTGAAAAGCCCAATTCGGCATTACACCCATCTCTGGGGAGTTTGGGGCACTCTCCAGGGTCCTGAAATAGCTCTCTTGCCTGTAAGCAGGGAGTCTGGAGACCCCAAAGCAGCTGATTTGGTTCTCTGGACATGTTCTTAAAAACAAAGAAGGTACATCAACATTTGCAACATGAACTATTACCCTAAGCGCACGTGGGGAGCTATTTCTTAGATTCATCACCACCGTGACCAAGGACAATTCTTTTGTGAAATCAATGAATTGATGCTCCTTCCTCCCTGTGGGTGGCTCTGTTTCCATTTGAATTTTCAGGTAGAGGATGTGCCTCAATAAGATTGGCTGGTCTGTAGCCCTAGAATTGAGGTGAGTGCATCATGAGGTGTTAAGCCCAGGTGCTCAGTAAATGTCATCAGCTGCCATCATCACCACCATAATCCTCATTATCCCTCATCATCTCTGGGCAGACCCCTCTTCTGGGATAGCAACACACCCAGATGTATACCCCCAGTTTGTGGCTCCAGAAGCACATCTGGGGAGAAGGCAGTGGTCGCCATTGCTGTGTGCAATGGCCAGATGACAGTCTTTAGAGGGAAGAGGAGGAGGGCCTTCCTTTCAGAGTCTGCTCAGATCCTCTCCATCCCAAAGTTCCCCCTTGGGGACCTGGAATATCCTTGTCCTACCTGTGCTTTCAAGTTTAGACTGAGTAAGGCTCTAAGAGTGTCTCCCTCAGT